TAATAAATGAAACCTAATAATATATTTAATTTATTCAGTACATTCACCTAATATTTATAATCAGTGGAAAAGAAGTACGTCATTTTAAAAACATTCACATTTTACTGCATAGGTATCGAATTGATAAAGCACATCTTTTTTCTGTTTTTGAAAAAGAAAAGCATGTTACTTGATCTAATTATTATTCTATATGCTTATTTCTCCCACGAAAATATTGTTTTTTATGAGTAAAGCAGACATAAGGTATACATAATGTTGGCCCACATTGTGCACAATATTTATTTCATCGACCAATTTGTACTAAATTATTCAACAGAACACTTTACATATTGTTTCTTTTTTATCTTCTTTTCTCTCATATCATCAATATGAATCTGTATACATTACAAGTTTCGTTTTTTTTTCCAAAAATTGGTACAAACCGAATTTAAATTGTCTAAGACTTTTCTATTTTCAGGATCTAGTTTTATTTTATTTAATACAGTCTAATTAATCGATATTAAGCCTTATTATCGTACATACATTTAACTTCGTGAAAATCGTTAAAAACACCTACAATGGTTGAACCACAGTCAACTACTCCCTCGTTGGACGATGTAGATACAGTTTTGGTTCACATGATTGTTAATGATGCACCGATTCTATCAGAAGAAAATCTTGGACAAGATTTTAACCAAAATATAGTGGAAACGGTATCTGAGACAACAACAACACAGATCAATCAAATAATCAATGAAATTAATGGAATCATTGATAGTGGAAAACAAGCAATTAATGGAACACTCAGTGAAGCAAAAAAATCAACGTCATTTTGGACCGGTACGTTAATTAGAGACTACCTTTCGCTTATTTAACCCCTCTAAACGTATTGAATGATTCTCAATATCAACGCAGTTCTTTCTCGTTTAATTTCCGTACTAATGAATGTTAGAGAAACATGCGTCTGCAATTTTTCACTAGCGATTGTGTATAAAATCTATGCTCTTGACTACTAGAACTATATCTTTATTAAGTTTTTTATTGATCAAAGCACGATATAGGTGTATTTCTTCCAGAAAGGCATACTTGGGGCGGAAATGTTAAGTATAATTCTTTTTGCAAAACACGTTATATTCAGACACACATTCTTTTTTTCACTCATACAGCTGTATTGTAAAAAAAGTCAGTATATTATTCCACCTGGCATTGAGCTAGTTGAAAAATAAGCAGATTTTCGGTTATGGAGTATCAACGTTTTTATTTTGTTTTGTTTTTTTCACAACCATTATTTATTCCGATCTGATAATAGATTTGACATGACACATTCTTATCTTCACTTATATATCATCACCCGAGTGTAAGGAAGCGGATATTATAATTTTTTTTCTTTTGTTTGAAGGCCAACACATATTGGTTGTGTTAAATATGATCTAGTCTATAGTTAATGTGTACAACAACCGCTACTAATGTGTATGAATGAATAATGCATAAAAATTGACAGTGCTGAGGGAAAGAGAGAGATCTCAAACTAAGATCGAACAATGATAGATATTTGGCGCTAATAATTCACCTGTGTAGTTTGTTGTTAGTTGATAGAATAAAAAGAAAAGTAAAACGAAGGTCATACAACATGTACATTAAAACACGTGAGGTATTGTCTAAGTAGAAACATAGAAATCTTTCATCTACGCATAACGATCATAATAATAATAATAATAAGCTCTACGTTATATACAATCAAATGTTTATCTTTATCACCACACATACATACACACATACAAATATATAGATATATATATATAACACAGATCTTTGACGTCATTTCTCATTTGGGAAGAGACAAAAAATAGTGTTGAGACAACGTATGAGACTTGTAATAAATATAAACATTTATAGTGTAAACATGTAACGATACTTCTCTAATAAACTAAATGAGAGTAAAAGAAAAGAAGCCAAATGTTTAGAAATATTTCGAGATAAAATAATACATGTTCAACCAAAGAGCAACACACAATCTTTAGGGAATTTAGAGTCAACTTTAGAATGTTTACATTTTGATTTTTCTAATAAGTTTTGTTTCTGATTAGTAGTACTTATGTCAGAAACACAAACATGTTGAAGTAGGATAATTTACACTATATTAAGTAAAAGTAATGCCGATTTCTATCAATTTTCATCTGGATTTTGTCAATAATAAGAAATAGAAAGCTAATACATAGAAAAACACGAGCATATGCTTTGAAAATCAGTTTGAGATGAAAGTTTAATCTAAAATAATTATTGTTGCTAAGCTCAAATTTAAATTAAGTGGCAATATTTTTATTCTAACCAGTGTGCGATGTAACAATTAATCAGCTAATCTGTTCAAAACAGATGTTAATGCTAATAATCACAGTATAATTTGTTATAATTTTTTTTCTGTTAATAATTCAATTTCTTCACATGTTTTAAAACAAAAAAATGACCTTGAAAAAATGTAAAAACATATTTTCAAGTAATACGAGAGCTAGTATATACTAAAGTGGGTGGTGAATTTACAACAGAAATCTCCGATTTCTTACTAGAAACATTATTTTTAATAAAGCAGTCGCTTTCCAACTATAAATATCAAACTAACTAATAGTACGCATCGATTGCTGTTATTACTTCTTATATGCTGTATTCAACAGTCGATAAAAATTCAAGGTAATCATCCTAGTAGTAAGCTTCTCATGAACATACTCCTCCCCCACCCCATCTCCCACTCCCCCATAAACAAACTAACTTTTCACTCGGCTATTTATATACTGTTATCGTTCTAGAAAATAGATAATATTCGTGAGATGTATGCTTTCAGCAGAATTCTACTCTCCTATTTTATATTTTATTCACTCTCTTCTTTTCTTTTTACCTCAAATTAATAGATTTCAACTGATGATGAACGAAGTATCAAAAAAATTCTTCTTATTCTAACTAAAGAAAGAAATTTTTCGTTTTCATTCTGGGTACACATACATGTGATGAACGTTGCTATTGTTATTTTCTGTTGTTTATTAAGTCATACTACACCTTTTTATCTACCTTAAAGAGAAAAAAGTAATAAATTTTTGATACCCATTAATATACTGTTGCAAAAAGTTTAAAAAATTTGCTGTTAAAAAAATTAAAAATGGAAACAACCACATTAATAGTTTTAGCTTCTAATAAATATAATACGAACAACATTGATGCAGCAGGTTAGAAGTTTTTTTGTATACAATATTAGACAAGAGAAGCTTCGAGAAATATCTTTCTTTAAAAACCTAAATACTAATATGTTTCTCGATCGATTAAAAGAAAATCCTTTCAAAACGAGTAAAAATATTTTCATCTTCAATTATTTTATATTTATTTCATTTTAGGTTGGCCAACAGAGAAAATTTTGTTGATTGTTTTAATGAGTTTATGTGCTCTTGGCATTATTATCAGTGTGTTATATATTTTATTAGGTAAACAATTTAAGAAAAGTCGAGGTGCAGCTCGAGAATTGGAAACAAGAAGTAAAACACAAACTGGAGCTGCAATGGGCGGAGCAACCGATCCTCAATATAGACAATTACCAACAAGAAATCCCGATACTAATATTGCCTAATATTTAATTAATTGAATTATTATTTCAACTTTTTTCGCTTTGTTTTGTTTTTTTAAGATGTGTGTGTTTACGTGTGTTACTTTTTAGTTGATATAATTTGTGCAACCAAGAACAGTGCGAGAGATTCATTTTTTATTTTGTGCTTTGTTTGTAATAATAAAAGGGTATCAATAGTTTTGATTACCAAAAAAAGTGACTTTTGATCATCAAATTTATTCATTGCGAAGTGATCACCAAAAAAAAGACTTTTGCTCACCAAATTAATTAGTAGACAGATAATAAAAAGAATATAAAGAAAATATAGGCAAGAGGATATACAGGTTAATTCCCGTTTCGTCGAAAGTTTAATTGATACTCCTGTTTTGTCGAAAAATAAAAAACTAGAAGCAGAATATAGATGATTCTAATTAAAAAGAATATTATTCGAAATGAAGTGTATATACATGCAGTTAGAAACGGTAATTAATCATTCTATTGTATTTGTATTCAACTTTAAAACAATGATTTCTCTGATATACCTTGCACTGTATTTCATGTTATCTGTTGTTGAAAGTAAGCGTAAGAGACAAATTTTTATTACTTTTTGACACTTTTTGTTACACCCAACAAAATTGTGAATACTACTGTTTAATTGGAAATGTGAAGGTTGTTCGTGTTCTGGATGTGGTATAAAATATGGGTCGGATCCACCAATTATGAAGAAACCGCACAATCACAATGGTGGTACAAATAAATGTAAAGCAGAAGAATTTAAAATGAATTCAAAACGGCGTATTGAAGAATCATCACAACCGGTAAAAAGAATTTATAGAGAAGAATTAATATCATTATATAGATCTGCACCACAATTGACATCATTTACACCAATTTTTAATAATAATAATTCTTTTTAATTAGTTTGTTTAAGAACCTTATTAATTAGCATAATCTATATTCTATTTCTAGTTTTATTTTTCGACGAAACAGGAACATCAATTAAGCTTTCGACGAAACGTGAATTCACCGAATATAAATATAACAAGTAATATAAACAAAACAGAAGCATAATTTAAGGGTATCAATTTTTTTGATCCCCAAAAAAGTGACTTTTGATCCCCAAATTTATTAACAGTGAAATGATCCCCGAAAAATAAGACTTTTGATCCCCAAATCAATTAAAGATATTTAAATTAAAGAAAATATATACAAGAAGAATATATAGCAATTTAATAGAAAATTAATTAGTGAACAGTATATAGAAGAAGAATATATATACAACAAGAAATATGAACAGAGTAGAAAAAACTAATCACCAAACCAATTAACGAAAATTTAAATTGAAGAAAAAATATACAACAAAAATACTCACTTTATACCAACAAAGCTATACGAACCTTTTTCGGACGACCTTTACCTTTTCTCTTACCCATTGGTTCACAACGAATTTTGTCCGTCACTTGGTACATGTTGAATAAAATGCCTAATCCAACTGAATGCTTACAGGTGTATTGCTTGAGGCCAATTGGACACGTACACGATGTAAGCGGTGACACTAACCAACATGATGTCTGCCATGCTACAAAATCGTCAAATGATGCCCATTGAAATTTTCAGAAACTTAATCGTTGACAATACAATTTCGAAAACCGTCAACTGTTGACAGATTTCATATTTCTTTCGTATTCTGTTCATATTTATGCTCATTTCTTGTATATATTCTCTTGGCTCATTCTTAATTGAGATCACTTTTTATAATTAAAGAAATAAAGCTGATCTCAGTTTGGAAATGGCATATTCTATTAATTTTGAAAACTGATATCAGTTTGGAAACTATTTTTCTATTAAGAAAACATGATCCCAGTTTGCAAAATGAGCTTTTAGTTGCTATTTTAATAAAATATGGATTTGTAAACTGTATATAATTACTAGATAGAGTAAAGTGAAGGCTTTATGGCTTGTAGGCTCCGAAGCAGATTTTTGGAATCATTTTGATTTGATTGGTGTAAGACCACGTACGAATAATCATGTATCAGGCTCAGTTAAATTCTCAAGGTGAAATACCTCCTAATCTATGGGCGTGGATAAATTATATTAAGGGGCCAGAAGAATCTGTAATGGTACGACATGAACAAGAACAACGTCAACAAGGAAGTACACGTCCCAGAAAGGCACGATCAATACATAATGATGCTGTATTGATTGCTGCCAAACAAAATTATATGTGTGGTCATATAGATCTAGAAGATTTACAGAAATTGTTAAGATCATTAAGTCATCGTTATATCAAAGTGTTTGAGAATTCAAACGACGACGATGGATAGGAACTAAAACAATGAGGATGACAAAAGTTAATTTTTTTGTATTTTCTTTTTGATAAAAATAGTTTAGGAATCCATATTTTAATAAACTGGAACCTACAAGCAATAAAGCTTTCACTTCACTCTATCTAGTATATATAATTTATATTATATACAGTTTATGAGTCCATATTTTATTAAAATAGGAACTAAAAGCTCATTTTGCAAACTGGAATCATTTTTTTCTTAATAGGAAAATCGTTTCCAAACTGATATCACTTTTCAAAATTGATAGAATATGCCATTTCCAAACTGAGATCAGCTTTATTTCTTTAATTATAAAAAGTG